TTTTTATTTTATTTTATTTTTTTTTTTTTTTTTTTTTTTTGCCTCTTTCTTCCCAGCAAAGGTTATATAATGAGGGGATTGCTGCTAAAGTAAAAAGGGAAAATGAAGTCTTTGTTAAATGCCTTCACAAAGAAAGAAGGTAAGCAATGAAAGCAGAACACTTTGATGTTTCAGACCGGTGTTTTCTTGTGTACATTTGATATGATCGGCTTGGTGACTCTATAATTAATCAATTCCTGCAGTTTCTCTTTCAAAATTATTTTGTGTTAGACGGTCCATTTAGGCAGCTGATTTTTAAAGGCTGGATGTGACTTTATTCATTTTAGGTTTTTCTCTGAAGAGTCAAGTAGTTATAAAAAATGTTTTTGTTCCCTAAGAAATGCATTTGAAGACACGTAAGGAATTTCCTAGGTGAATTTTGTCAGTGAATGGTGCTGAATTGCCCCTTCAGATGTATGAAATGCCAGGAATAGAATTCTGAGAGCTGGAGGAAGGATTAAATGGTACTTTCAGGTATGCTTTTAGGGATGATAATTTTAAACTTCAGGGGCATGAAATTAGTTCAGGCATTTTTATGTCATTTTATATCAGGTGTTTTTCCCAAACAAGTTTTGCAACAGTTATTCTTATAGTTCTGAACATGGTGAAATATTAGGGAAAAGCAGTCTCCAAGAGGGGTTAAAGGATGGACATTTGCATTTCATCATTTCGTGTTGTAATTATTTTTTTTATTGTGAAAATAATATAAATAATGCCTATAAGAAGCAGCTAAAAAAATATCCACCCACTTACAGTTTGCAGATTGCTGGGGAAAAGAAACAGTTGGGAGGAATATTAATCACTTAAGGCACGGAAATGCTTATTTTTAACTCTTTCTATAAAAGATTTGTGTTAGACACACATCAATTGGTGTAATTAGTTGTCCCCTTTCCTGTTTATTTTCTGTAGTAAAGGCTCATTTTCCCTGTAGTTCTCTCCTTAAGAACAGAACATTAATAGCAAAGCAAATGCTAACTCCTAAATGGTCGTGCAAAATCCTTCTCAGGTACATAAGGGAAAAAGAATTTTTTTAGTCTGGTACCTGGAGAGTGTGTATACGTGCAAACATGCCCTGTTTTTCAGTGGGAATGGATGCGCCAGTTTTGTGTTTTCTAAAATCTGTCGGTATCGACGTGCTCAGCAGTTCTCCGTCCTGGTCCTGCCGCCGTGCCTGAGCACCGTGCCCCTCGTGCTCCCTCCCACTCCCGCCAGAAGGTATCCCACCAGCCGCTCAAAACTTACAGTAAACATCCCCCGAATGCTGGCAATATTTGCTTGTGTCGGTCTGTGGCTGGAGGGCTCAGCAGTCTGCTTGGAGTGTTACCTGTTTAAGTCCATGAAAAATGAAAATCTAAGCGTCAGATCCAATTTTTACTGAGGTCCAAGGCACACTTTGATGACCCTAAGGAACAGCATTAGACCTTCAGGTAGCAAACCTGTATGTGCAAAACATTCCCTCTATCCAGTTTTGTGTGCTTTCTCCTTTACTGGAATTATTACGGTAGCTATTCTGCTTTACTGTACCTGGGAAAGATCCCTGTCTTCAATGAAATAATTTCTAGAGCCGTATTCCCAGTGTCAAAAGCACAGGAACGCACAAATGGCACGTCTGTGTCACATACATCCATCTAGAGGATCTGTGTATGTCAATTTTGGAAATAAGTGCTGTGAGTTTTCTTTAAGTTAGTACTAACCGGGGCTTTCACCGTGACACTTGAAGCACCAAGGTGCTTTCAGTGACATACTCTGCTGCTTTGAAACCTTAAAAAAAAAATGACATATTAAAGCCTTGGAATATTCTGAAAATTAGACAGAGTTTCTGCCAGTTTCTAGCATAAATGTTGGACTTTTATGCTTTATCCCCTTTAACAGCTTTTAAAGACTACTTCCCTTATTTCAGCCTTGTTTTGAATGAAATATTATGGAAATGGATTTAAAGCCCTTTCGCTCTGTGCACACTGTTCTCGTTTGGTTGTTCTGATGTTGTTGAGCTATGTACCAGAGAAAGTTTCAGCTCATTAGAAATACGAAGGATGTTATTTTAAAATATTCAGAGTCGCAGTTAATCATAAACTGATTCTGGTGAAAATGATATAAACCCTCCTTTTACTTGCAGTTCCATCTTTATTTTATGTTATAAATATGCTTCAGTTTTGCTCTGAAACCTTAAATTTTGCTGTGTTCTCTCAATTAAAGGCTGTATTTCAAGGCAGCACAGATTGATTCCTATGTATATTCATATTTATGTGAATTTATTTACTTGCACAGTATGATAGACATTCTTATTCTGGTTTTTGTGTGTTTTTGAAGGGTATTGAACGCGTAGACATTTCTGGCACTTTATAAATGGCACTTACTGGCACTTTAGACATGTAGGATGATATTTTGTGGGGCTTCTTTCCCAACTGAAATATGATTTTTTTGAAAATTACAACAGCTCAATAAAGTCCCGAGAATAATGCCTGGCTGCCTTTTGTCAGTTATACTACTGCGACTTTTCATGTAAATATGTGCAGGTTGGATCATATCCTGCGACCCCATGAGTTCCACTGAAATAAATTAATGAGAGTAATTGCATGAATGGGGACCGAGGCAAGCGTGAGTTTTCAGGGTCAGATCCTTTATTACTTTATAATCTGGGTAGGAGATGCCATCTCATCTAGTGATAGCTGGGTGCCTTTTGTTAGGAAATTGGCCTTTTAAGTTGCGCTTGGAACTAACTGACCCACTACAGTGAGAAAAGGAGATCTGGAAAATGTAGCGTCTGCTTGTACAAATTCTCGTATGACTGCAGCACTGTACCAATGACACTGATGAAAGGATGGGCCCTCTGGTTTGTATTAGATTTTTATTGCCCTTGCTTTTGTTTTCTGTTACGACTGTTTCATTAAGTAGTATATTGCAGCCTTTGAATACAGTCGTGTTCTCTTTGGGACACAGCACGTGACGAAGTGACTGTATTACCCTCGGGTAATATGCTCTATATACAATAGTAATAGATGCGGTAGAAATGCCTAGATTAGAAAGAGAGGAATACCTAGGGATTACAGCAATGTAATAGAGTTCTGCCAGGAGAAAAAAATCTATGTCCTCAATTTTTAACCTGGAAGACGGGGATAAGGTGACTGTTAACACTACAGACTTAAGGTTAGGCCTGAATTGCGATGGAACAAAGTTCTTCCGGTTTGGGTGCCAATGGGAGAAGGAAGTTAGATCACACATCAAAAATTCTGCTGATCAGCCCTGTTCCCTGGCTTTCTGATTGAATATGACAACATAGCACAAATACGAACTTTCTGAGACTCAAACTTGGCAATAATGGGGTTTTTCCCATTTCCTAGACCATAGTTCTGGCTCATGCCACTGGTGTTGCCTAACTATTTATTAAAGCCAGTAAACATGTTAACGTTGCCCAGTTGGTTTCAGTTTTAATGATATTTTAAAGATTATGAATTTGATTAGCTATGCAGGCAATGTAGAGTTTCTGTCTCTGCAGAAGAAACAATGCCATATGTTGCTAAATCTTTTTATGGGGTGGTAAATACATATGAATGGTGAAGTCATCTGAGATTACCCTGGATATCTTTCTTTACACAGTGCCCTTTAGAGAGGCTCCCACCTATTCAAACAGAAGGCGGAGACCCCCAAGCACCTTAGCAGCACCTCGGATCTTGCTTCGTTCCAACAGCGACAACAATCTGAACATCAACAACCTCCCTGAGTGGTCAGTCTCCTCCTCTGCTTCTTCACACCGCAGCCTTTCACCTCATCTACTTCAACAGATGCAGAATAATCCTAATGGAACTGTAAAAACTGTGGGGAGTTACACTCCGTCCTCCCGGAGCCGGTCGCCATCCCTAAACAGGCTGGGAGACGATGCCAAACGACAGCAGCACAGGCACATCAGGTGACTTTTTGACTATTTGCACAGCATGAGATATCCCTAATGTCATCATGCTGGACTGCCATGTTCTTTTACATTATTTATATGCCCATTTTGCACTCTATATAATATATAGGTAATAAAATCTCAGCACAGTGGAACATGTCCAAGTGTGAATATTTTAATAGGCAGCTCCAGTCAAAGCCAGCTGTTTCCTCACCGAGCTCCAGCAACCAGGCAGACTTTAAAGTTCAGCAAAGCTCAAGCAGTGACTTATCACTGAGTTTGCACCTCCAAATCAAGGTGCTAGTTCTCAAGATCTTCTAATAGTTGAAATAATGGTTGCATTTAACAGCAAAGTAAAATGTTTCTGAGATACTTGGTCGCTTCATGAAACTATTGGTCATGCCTGAAACCTATGTTGGAGCTGCTCACGGGTGATGAAGCAGAGACTGTTTAAATTCTCCTTTCTGTAGATGTGTGCTGAACCAAAGAGTAAAACAGAGGGAGTAACTGGGGGGAATAAGTGGGGCTGTGTAGGGGGCTGGCCGAGAGCAAAGGGGGCTTCTTGAGATGGTGGTGATAGATGGCATGGGCTTCTTTCATGATTATCCTTGCTGCAGGGTTTTGCATTCCCTATGACTTTTCTGCTCTTCCTTTCCTCTTGAATTACAAACGCAGTTTGGCAGGCACTCTCTGCAAATATCCTGCAGTTATGTCCCACAGGAGAGCAAATCCTGACTAATTAGAGCGAGGTAGGTATTGTAAATAATATAATAAAACAGAAGATTGTGTCTAAGTTTTGATTACAAATGGGGGATTCAGCTTTGTGATGCCACTGCCCTGTGAATGGGCAATTACAGCTTCACGTTGAGGAGGACTCAGCAACTGCATCTGTCCAGTGTGCAAGTGATGGAGCTGCACCAGGACGAGGGGTTAAAGCGCAGGGCTGCAAAAATGAAGGGAGGCACAGCTGAGTACTGATGGAGAGAACTTAAATGTCTTGACCAAACACATTTGATTCAATGGTCATTTCAAATCTTAGGCTGTTTCCTAATATCAAATACCCATCCACTGTTCAGATAAAAAAGGACCTAACTATTGTTAAGAAATGCAGCTGTTCGTTTCTCTTGGCCATTTGTAGGTGTAACGGATCTTTACTTGAGTTTTCAACTCGGTAAAACAAAACGTTGTGTAGTTGAAGCTGCCACCTGTTACCTTGCACATTCTTCTTCTCTCCTTGGCTGTAGGCACCCAAACTGACAGGCGCTATTGCGATAGTAACAATACTGCTGGAGAGTGGACGTACAGTGCATTGTAAAAAAAACTGTTGTCTGAAATGTAAGAATCACTGGAAGGAACAGGACACAGATTTCTTACGCGAGCGGTTTCATGCAGTAGAGCAAACTCAGCTTACCTTGTTGTATGTGACAATAATGGCAAACGCTCGTTTGGTTATCGTTTGGGTGATGCTTCCTCACAGAGACCCTTACCAGCTGAAACCCAGGTTGTCTGTAATGAGGCTTTGCTTAGGGGAGGAGGTGGCCACAAGGTACTTCTTAGGGAATGAGTGCCCTCGTATTCCACTGGATACCGCTGATGCCACCGGAGTTGGAGGTTTTGCCTTAGAGTCAAGGATTATTTTAGCTGGAAGGGATAAAAAGTGCCTTTTCATCAATATTCCTGGGATAACACGCTTCCAAACTCTTGAAGTATAAACAATCCTTTGAGGTGGGGTGAGCAATTAAAAAATGTTTTTGAATAAGCAAACATTTATTTGCTTTGACTTTATTCAGCTACTTTCCTTTTCCCCTTCTGAAAGCACTAGATTTTGAAAATTAGCACAAATGACAGTGGAAACCAATTTAATGCCTGAAATTTTGTGGAAATAAAATTTTGGTCTTTCTCTTAGTGCATCAGTATCACAGCTACTTAAACTGCTACCCAGCTGCAGAGTTTCATATGTGCCATCAAGACTTGTTTCAGAGATGCACAGAGTACATGCAAGTACGGAGAAGAGAGCTGGAGGCTCTCTAAATTTAAAGGCAACTGAAAGGGGTTTGTATATAATTTTTCCTGCAAGCAATGCCTTTTCTTGCCACAGGTCCATTTTGCAGTCATGAGC